AACCAGACGAGTGTCCAACCTTGCGCAATCGAAGTGATGATTACAACTTAAATGTAGAAAGGGGGAGATAGTGGTCATCAAACCTTGATGGCCAAAAACATACGTTCCTTTTTGATGATGATTACTTTGAGCCATCACTGCTGGTTTCGTCCATAAGCAAACACATGCATACACATACATATACAGAGATAAACACACACATATGCTTCGATGTTGACATATGACTGGAGCTAACCAAATCACTTTATACCTGATCAAAGAGACCACATGTAGAGTATATATACCACTTTTTAGGGGTGAGTCGATGAGGTTTCTTGACTCTTTAGCTTGAATTTGGTTGTAACGATGATACCCTTCTCTGATGATGTTCGTCATGTGAAAGAGGGAAGCTTAACACGTTTTCACCGGAATCGAAGGAGATTACCTTGAAAACGGCGTTAACACGTCTGTTCCAGCAAAGCCAATCGAAAGCTTGCCAAGATGAATCAGCTGTCGTCTTCCGGTGGGATCGACTTTCGAATTTCTCTTTCACTCAAAATGGAATTAGGCTCTACAGTAAAACAAGTAGACTTCACGCATTTGCAGTACAGTCTAATCTGAATAAGTAGCCGGACAAAGTGAAATTCACTGGCATCTTTAAGTAAACTTGACTTTGAGAGTCTGCTTACATTTTTATCAAAGACAATGTGTCTGCCCAAGAAAAATTAGGGAAAAGTAGCAACTGAAGACTAACTTGGTGTGGACTTCGTTTTGTTCGCGGTTTCCTCTGGTTATGTAGTTTGGGAGTCAGTTCGTTATTCATGGATGGGAACTTTGTCAGACAAGATCGCATTAGCCACGGATTCCGGAGTTTTACAAAGCAGATATGCCTATCGAGACCGCTTAGAGTTATTCTAATAAATAATAATGATAATAATGTTTACAATAATAAGCATGAAGAAGTTGCTTTTCTGTTTGCCACCAAGTTTGATGACACTACTTATATGTGCATTGAAAGTAGGCTTCGATAATATCGGTAATTATGAAATAAGTGTTTTAGTCCCTCTATGTCGCATAAGGCGATGATTGAGTAGGCATTACGTTTCCACAATCATATGAGTCGAGCTGACGTTTTCCATTAAATTTCACATAGCCTTGCTTTGCCAAAAGTTATTCCAATCCAGGGTGGACTGCAGTTTCGATCTCGCATCGGTCTTATCAACACCCTCAGCAGGATTCGAACCGCGACAGTGCAGGATAGAAGCTTGACACGCTAACCACTCGGCTACAATACATGTCATTACACTGATTTACTGGTAGTCTCGAAACCCTACTCTTATACGAACATTACGTTTCCAGCCGTATTACGTCAAGATTACACGCTGCACAGCATGTGTTCGATTGCCGTTGTGGCTGCCAGGGCGACCAGTTTAGGCAAGGCAGTAGGTTTTACACGAAAAATAAGGTAGAAACTGTCGTTCGGCCAGGATAAAAATACCTTTTGTCAGGCAGGGCTAAGCGAAATTCATAACGAAGGTACGGTAAGGTTAAATTTAACTATTTTTGACGACACTACAACTTACTAAATAGGAAGAAATACTAGGTTTCGTCGAATTCCATTGTGATTTTTCGTCACATAACTTTGTATTATAAAGTAAAAATTGGTTGTAAGGAATTCGTGAAATTGTCTCACCAGCAATCAAAAAAGGATTGCCGCAGAATAGGCAATATCGGGTGGTGCCAAGAATTCCTCTGCTCACCGTCTTGCGACCCCGATGAACCTGTCCTAGGCTTTCGTCTGTATTGTCGTGATAGATATCATCGAAGCAAGAATGGCTACTTTACGAAATAGCGCAAAAAGTGTACTAAACCAGAATGAATGGTAGCAGGCTGTGACCTTAGTCACCTTTTTATACGCCTATTCTTGTGATCTTAATGAATAATCTCATAATTTGATTATATGCCTCAAACTTACCTCACATGTTTGCAGTACAGACGAATGTTTGGCACAAGTTTGTCAGAGTCACGGGACGATGATCCAAGGCCTCTTCACGCAATCCAGTAACGTTCATTCTGCGGCAAACCCCCTTCGGTTTCCGTTGAGACCATTTCATGCATTCCTTCCAACCAACTTTTTCTCCGAAACGGAAAATCGCATCACTACTACTTAGCAATTTAAGTAGTATGCAAAATTATCAATTTATTTTGTAGCATTTGTGAAAATTGTGCTCACTTTCTTGAATTGGCTGTCCTCCTCGTGCCGTCTCAGAGCGACCAGCGGCGGTCTGCACCGACAGGAGCAGTCGAGCCGCATGCCGGCCTCCATCTGTCGTCGGTAAGAGCTGTCTGCCATGAAGATGGCCTCTGCTCGCCGGTTGAGTGCAAGAGCAGAAGGAAAAGCCTTGGCCGCCTCCTTCTCGCGGAGCACCTCCTGCAGCAGTTCCGCCTCGTCCGTGGCCTCCTCAAAGTCGGACTGTCCGGCGCCCGGGAGGCCCAAATCCCCGGCCAAACTGTAGGTGAGCAGATCGTTGTCTTGTCCCGTTCTGCCATCTTTGCCGCCAACTACGGAGCCAATTGTGCCGGCGGCAGAAGCGCCCAGTTGCAGCGACGTGTTGGCTTCGTGTGACGCCTTTTTGTCCATGCACAACAGGCCCTCGGGGTTCTCGAACTGCGGAAACTGGTCGCAGTGCATGCGGGCCGGCCAGGAGAAGTTGTGCATCGCCATTATCGGAGCACAACCGTGACGAGCACGCTCGCAGACAGACCGACAAGGCGGTAGGGCGTGGGCAAAGTTTGCCAGACAAATCGGCGTGTAGATGGAGCAGAGGAAGAAGCGCAGGTCTGGGGAGCATTGGATCTCGACGAGCGGATAAAACTGATGCGCCTGCAAGCGGCAACGGGTAGTTGGGCACAAGAGATTTCATTAGGACATTTCGTCGATCTTGTTGTGTTTACTTCCATTTCGGGTGAAGGGGTTCGGTGAAAAGATTCGAAGCTCGATTCTACCAGAAGACGACGGCAAATTTAGCTTGACCAGCTGTCGATTGGCTTTACTGGAACATTCATGGTTACGCTGTTTCCAAAGCAACCTAGTTTGATTCCGGTGAAAAGGTGCTTCGTCATCTGACGAACATCATCAAAGCTAACAAGTCAGGAAAACTCCTGTCAGCTTGAATTTAGTTGCGATAATAAAACCTTGCTCTGATGATGTTCGTCACATGACGAACGAAAGCTTAGCACCTTTTCCCCGGAATCGAAGGAGATTGCCTCGGAAACAGCATCAGCATGAATGTTCCAGTAAAGCCAACCGACAGCTGGTCAAGATGAATTTGCCGTCGTCTTCTGGTCGAATCGACCATCGAATCTCTTCACCAAACACTTTCACTCGAAATGGAAGTAAGCACAAGAATTATGAAACAGTAGATTTCTCGAAACCCAACTCATATCATTGTGGGAAAATTCCTCTTCTACCAGTCCTTCATCACCTTAAACGAAATTGGGTGAAT